CCTTAGTTGGGGGGGGGGGTGGAAGGATGAGAGGTGAGTTAAAGGGAGGGAGGAGACAGGTGATAGTGTACAATTTGTGCAACTAGATCTCCCTGGCCCTGGTGGAGGAGATCAGAAAGGAGGGTCCCTGTGAAATAGAAGACAATTATGAGATACTTGCCAGTGGGGACCCTGTGAGTTTGGCGGCTCTAAAACAGAGGAGCAGAAAGAAGCGTACCTCCTCGGCTGGAAGTTCTCACTCCCCCAAAGACCAACAGCACACTGTGGGGCAGGGTGTGTATCTGTTCACAGGGCAGCTAGGTCCTTGCTCTTTGAGGAGTTAGTAAACTGAGGTAGTTCTGTGGCTCATGTCGCAGTTCAGCGGGGGACATTGTGGAGAGGGAGATGACACCACCTCCAGGAGGGATAGATGCTTTTGGGGGTCGTTCCTTCCCTGAAAGAAGTGACACAGCAGCTGGGGGGCCTGTTAGCTTTGTCTCTCTTCTGGTCAGTATCCTGTACACCTAAGTCAGGAAAACATTCCCACGGTGTAGGCATTTGGGTTCCATTTTCTTCCTTCCTGCTTGTTTTATTTTTATTTTTATTTTTATGGACACCTAGTTGCAACAGATAGTAAGTTAATATTTCGGCTTTAAATTAAGTGAAAAAATAACTGGAGACAGATTCTCACTGTGTAGCTCAGGCTGGTCTGGAACTGGCCATTCTCTTGTCTCAGCTTCCTGAGCACTGAGATGATAGGTATGTGCCAGCACATTTCCTGGCTGTACGGAAAAAAGCCCTTTTTATCAGAAGGAAATGTGTTTGTGGGACTATGAGATGTCTCAGTGGGTTAAGGTACTTGCCACCAAGCCTAAGGACCTAAGTTCAATGCCCAAAGCCCACATGGTGTAAGGAGAGGATCAGCTCTTTTACAAGTTGTCCTCTGACTTCCACAACTTCACCGTGTCACACACACACACACACACACACACTCACACACACACACACACACCCCTAAATGCTTAAAGAAGTGTGTGCACGCATGTGCATATCTACACAGAGGTAATCCTGGCATGTGTGTATCTAGGTAAAGCTGAACACTTGAAAATTGATAGTGTAGGTATAATTGTTCTCATTCAATTCATGTTGCACAGTGGCATGCATTCATGCCAATGTGGTGTGTGAAACGTTCTTGGTTGCTGTCTACCCTCAAATGGCATTGTTTGGGAGGTGATGAAAGCTGCCAATCCCCTTTACAAGACGATTATACCACCTGCCTTGAATCCTGTGGTTGCCACCATTCCTTTGTGCTCTCATTTTATTTGAATAATGTTTTCTAGTCATTCGTTTGAATATAAGCAATGATTATGCCTGCATTGAGTCCAAGAATAAAGTGCACAAAGAAAGCTAGAGAAAAAGAAATACTGTCAAGCTATCATTTCCCAGTTCCATACACAAACAGAACCCTGATTTCCTACCACATGCCATGCTACCCCCTCTGACGGTAGATCCCAAACCTGACTGAGCCCACCTACACCCAGGAACAGTCTATGGTTACATGGTGGGTATCACTTTCGGATGCCTTGTTGATTGTATCATCCTGAAATGCGATTAAAACCCAATGTCTGCAACCCAAATGAAGTCTAATTGCTATGGATCTGCAATCCCCATCGGGCCCCTAATCCTTTTTGACTTATTCCTCCCCTTCCTCTGATGAGATGGAGCTTAGACACAAAGCCCTTGGTTTAAATTTCAAAAATTAAAATTGACATGCAGCTATGGCTTTCCTGAGAGCTGGGAGGAATTGCTAAGGAGGTGCCCCAACCCAGTTTTAGTCTCTGCATTAAGAAGCAATTTGTACTTCTAACAAAACCCCCGCCCCTTCCCCTTTGTCAGAAGGCAGGGGAGATGCCTTGCCTGGGTCCAACTATTCACAACACTTAGACAAATTTGAAGCTGAGATTCCTCCATCTGTCTTTGCCTTCAAAACCGGGCTTCTTGTAATTCTAATACTGGGCTGCTGGAGCTTGTGCCAGAGGTGTCAACTGCTAAGAGCATGATGGATTGATGAGGGAGCTTTGAGAGGTTCAGTTAGCAGAAGCTGGCCAGCAGTCACTGTGTCTGCCACTCCCAGGTCCCAAGCTGGCTCCTCACACCAGCTAAGGGCCATCCTTGTGGGAACTCTCTGCCAAGGGGACAGGCTTGGATGGAAGACCAGGTCTCCATTCTAGCCACCTTTATGAAGTCATCAGATTTTTGGAGGGGGTTATGGGATACAAGAAGCCCTTTGCCCCAAATACTCATCCTTATAGTTTATTAAGCACTTCCCCAGTTTCTTTCCTATTCCCAGGAATAGAACTATGAGTATCATACACTCAGGGCCAACAGACACACAAGGCACTATTTTTGTCTGTTCAAAAGCTGGAGAAATGGGGCTTGGAGAAATTCATGACCTATCCCAAGTCCTCAAACTTTTAACAGTTGCATCTGGGAGCTGAGGAGATAGCTTACTTAGTAAATTGCTTGTGGTGCATGCAAGAGGATCTGAGTTCAATTCCCAGAACCTGTGTAAAATAAACCCAGGCATGGTGCAGCACCCCTACAATCCCAGTGCCGGGAGAGGATTCCTGGCACTCACTGGCCAGCCAGCCCAGCCTATGTGATGAGCTCTAGGCCAGTGAGAGGCCTTATCTAATAAAAAGCTGAGGAATGACATCCGGGCCTCATCTCTGGCCTTCAAACACACATGTACAATGTGCATGTGCACACATGTCCAAGTGTGAGGGTATATGTGCACACTCACATGCACACATAAAGAAATGCAGTTGGGATTCGAACTTTGACCTCCAGGCTACTGTCCTGTGTGTACAGAGAGGGAATGTCTACCTTCCATTCCCAGGCCTCTAATATAGGTGGGTCAGACAAGAAGACTCATGTGTTCCTTCTTACCCAGGCTTCCCCCTTCAGGGACCTCCAGATCCAGACTCCTCCAAGCATCAAGCCTCGGGATTGGGCCAAGCATCTGGCCGTGGGGCCTTGCTGATGGCCTAGCAGGGGTTTAGACCATTAATTCCAGATGCTCTGTTGGGAACAGTTTGTCTCCACCAGCACACCCTATCACAACAGCTTTTCTTCTCTCCCTTGGAGGTAGTGAGGAGGGAGTGTCCTGCAGGTGCCAGCGCTTAGCTGAAGTGGGCGCTGGCTGTCTCTGTTTGGCAGGAAGGCTTGTCTCTGTTCTGAGCTCATTGTCCGTGGGAGTGCTCATCTTCAGGATTGCCTGAGTTCAGGAGAGATGCACCTGGCCCGGAAGACTTGGGTGGAGGCTATGCCTTCTGCTGCATCTCTCGCCTATCTTTGAGCAGCTAACTCTTTTCAGACTCCAAGACAAAACCCCAGATCCCCCCAGCCCTGCTCCGCACCTATTAAGGACAACACTGCAGAGGCCACTGAAGGGGCTGGTCCCTTTAAATGCCCCTGATCATGCATTCGTATTGGTTAAACATTTTTTTTGGGGGGAACTCTCGTATCAACATATATATTTGATATATGAATAATTTATGTATACTGTCATCAGTCTATACTTTAAGAATTTTCCAGCTTTTGTATTTATATTCATCTGGAGGGCTCACATTCAAGTCAGAAGCCATAGCCTAGCTGGCTAACCAGGTTTGGAAGCAGGTCTCCTTTTCATTGGAACAAAAATAAAAGAGGGTTAATTTGTTATTTTCTCAGTGTTCGGCATGAAAGTGTGTTCTCTATGAGTCACAGATAAGCCTGTGCCCTTTAATTCTTGGCAGGCAGAGCTCTGGTCCTGTTTTAGATATTAATATTAGTAATTCTTAATTTGTTTGTCTCTCTTTTCATTCAACGAATAATTAGTTTCATTAATTTATTTATCATACAGAGTAATGTGTTTCGTTATGACATTTTCATAAACACATGTCATTGTATTTTGTTCAGGTTTTTTAAAATAGCCTAGACTGTCCTCAAACTTGAGATCCCCCTGCCTCAGCAGCCTCCCTGCTGGGATAATAGGCATGTGCCATCATAGCCAGTGTTTTTCCCTCTCTGTCACCAAGCCTGGCCTTGAACTCTTGAGGTCACTGAGGATGATCTTGAACTTCCGATCCTCTTGGCTACACATCCTGAATGCTTGAGATTACTGGTGTGTGCTGCCAGGCCCTGTGAATTCTCTCTCTTT